CACAGCCGCAGCCACAGCCACATGCACACCCACACCCACCCACACTCACAGCCACAGCCACATCCCACACCCGCACCCTTGTTAATTAAGAGTCTCGAGGTTCTCTTCAATAAATATCCATTTTTGTGGTGACAATAAGTGTTAAAAAATTATGACCCAATGGACTTTTAATTGCCCATTGTCGCACAATCCTTAGAATAGTTTAGCTGGGAAAGGGCCCATTATTGAAAAATTCCTGTCCATGCCACTGGATGTCCCCCTTGAATAATATTATTTCCAACCCTGTATATTAAGCAGAAAGGAAAAAGATAAGCAAAAGAATGTTATACGAGATAATATTCCTCTAGCAATGTGAAAGTAAAAGAAAGAAAGAAAAAAGAAAAAAGAAAAAGAAGCGCGCAGAAGATAAGTGGCAATAGAAAACTATGATAAAAAGGGCCTCGTTCGTTGTTATTATATCAAAAAGTCAAGTTTTTTCGTCGTTATTATGGTCGAAAATACTGCTTAAAATCATTCCCGTAGAAAAAATTATTACCGTCGTCATTAGGGCAAAAATCACTGAAACGTCATTATTAGAGAAATAAATTTGCTCACTGTCGTTATTAGGGTCACTTTGTTTTCGTTCATTTCGAGGATTTTTCAATTACTTTCGGCATTCCATAGAACTATGGTCAGTTCATAGCGAACCTTTGGACTATGATAGAATTTGATCCGCTCTATAAAACTGTCTAAGAGGCCTATGGTGCTTTTCTTAAGAGGAATCATCAAAAAAAGTGTTTTCTCTGGGAAAGCAGGTTTCCGCATATATTTTGCTGGAGCGTCGTTATTAAGGAACTGGTACCTAATAGCGATCGTCGGACTACCTGATCGTAGACCGCTAATCTCTCAGATGAGAACATGTTAGACAAGAAATTTATATATCATTGGAAAGAGGAGAATCCAAAGATCATTCAAATATAAAAATACTTTTGGTTGAAGATAATATAGTCAAGCACTAAGCGAAACAAGTTAAGACAAAAGTTTTCCAGCGTTATTAGGGAAATTGTCTCTATATATTTCAGGTAGATTGAAAGGCGATGCACTATTCTCTTTGTTGACAAAATTAAACAGAACAACAGAGTTTTAGATAAAGTAGCGCATGGTATGTACGTGTTTTCTAACTGCTATAAATGTTGTAAAGATCTGTTATGTGTTGAAATATATACTCGTCCTCACATCCTGTCTACTGTCTTGTAACTGCTTTCACCTTCATCCTCATCCTTTGTTTTAGATTTGTTCTAAGTCTATACAATTTGTCTATATCAATGGGAAATACAGTTTCACACAATATTAATCAATCTCCATCAAATGATTATCGTTTTTTGAACATTGATAAAGAACCACTAGAAATGCTTCTAGCAATCGAAGATTATAAAAAATTACCTTTAGTCTCCCTTGAACAAGCTGTTTCTTCTCTAGTTTCATTTGTTCCTAATATAAAACAAATGGTACAACTTGTCAAAGACAAATGTAAAAATCCAGCAGATAATTTAACCGTTGATGAATCTGCTTCAATCATGTTATATTCTCTGGAAAATATTCCATTAGAAGAATCATTCTATATAATTCTTAATAAAACGCTTCGCGACAAAAATCGACAAAATTTAAAAAATTGGCTTTCTTATTTGAAACTTTTTACTACAGCTCTATCGAAGATTCCATCTACTAAATCTGTTGTTTATTGTGGAGTGAAGCAAAATTTACATCACTTATATCCGAAAGGACAAAATATCACTTGGTGGGAATTTTCGTCATGTATTACTTCACTTGAAAGATTACAATCAAATGAATTCTTAGGCAAAAATGGTACAAGAACAATATTTTATATTGAATGTTTCAGTGGAAAAAATATTCAATCACATTCATATTATTCAACAAGAAATGAAATTCTCCTTCCGTCAGAAATCAAATTTATAATAAATTCATCTCGTGAACGCAAGGATGGTCTTTCAATTATTCATTTAAAAGAAATCGTACAATTTTCTTCTTCGATTATATCTGCATTATCTGTTAGTGTTAATTTGTTATTAAATTCGTTTAGAAATCATTTCGTATTTTTAGATTTCTAAAAACTCAGTCCAATCTTCTGCATCTATTAATTCATCTACTAGTCAAACAAACAATAAGTAATTGCTAGTAATTCTTCTATGCAAACATCATATCTATCTTGCTTTTAATTGTAGCAATACTAGCGTAACAACTGAAACTCAGACAGCAGGTAAACTATGAAAAATTTTCATTTCAGTTTTAGATAATAGAATTAGAAGATTTTTTTGAATAAAAATACTAAATAAAATAATTAAATTTTTCAATAAAGGATCGACACAAACGAGTACGAATAGAACCTGGTTCAACTGGATTAACAATATGTTTGAAGATCGGCAAGATACTAATGCTAATGCTGGTACGTTCAGTTCTTTTTAAATATAAATCTGTTGAGAACATTCTTCCTTATAACATTGGAAAAATGATTTTCTATTCATTCAAAATTTTTTTTTCTACATATTTATCTTTTGCATTCAACTTTGATAATATTGGAATCTTCTAATAGTTAATTGATCTTTTTATAATTTTATTTGAGTCAACTTTTTATTTTTATCGTTTTGATTTTGCATAATATTTTTTTTTCAGCTGAATTAGATCTGAATGGTATTTTGAAAAAAATTTTTAATTTAGATGCATCCAGAAAATTTCAAAGAAATTATTTAGCATTGTTTCAAAAGCGACGTTCGTGTCCTAAATGTGGTCGAAAAGATCGTGTTTATTGTGCTGATTTTCTATTCAAGGATCCTCAGAATGATATGATTGGTTGTATCAATACTTTTCATATTCTTTTATTTCCTCGTTTAGCATCATTTATGTTTGCAACTGGTTTAATACGTTATTCTTGTTTTATTTTTATTTATCCTACTATAATTTTTTTTTCTGTTTTTGATCTAATTTTTCGTTCTCTTCCTGGTCGTAATCGTCTTGTTCTTTTTTTTATGGGTATTTCTAGTGCTAGTTATATGTTGTATAGATTTATAACCGGCATATTTGCTTTAAAGAGTGATTTGGACAATAATGAATGTGCTCATGTTTTAACTAAGCATATCGGCGCTCAGAGTAGATTTTGTTTTTTTCGTAGTTGGCGTGATATATGTTGGTATTTTTATATTTGTACTTATAAACATTGATCTTTCTATTATTTATTTCAACAATTAATTTGATAAAGATTTTATAATACTATTTAATTTTTTAATAAAAACAAATCATAACGTGTGCGCCAGGTGAAATGAGCGTCTACGTATTTTGTCAATATGTGGCTCAGTTTCTGTTGCCGAAATGTACTTTTTTCAGAAGATGCAGCGTAAAATTTTGCACAAAACAGTATATTTCACTCCAAAAACATGTCTTTTCCTATCTTCAGCGGAAAAGATAGTTAAACAACAACGCTATTTCCAACTTTCAAAATATTCAAGTTTTTCAATTATTGTTCCGGAAAATATTTTATCGATTTCAGGGGGGAGTATCCCCTCCTAACATACCCTGAAACTTTGCCAGTTTGTAGAGAACACCTTCACTGATATGCCTGTAAAATATTAAAACCTGTGGTTAATTATTGGCTGAGTTATTAATTAATTAAGTTCAAAATTAATTAAAAAATTTGGGTTAACCAGCACTTTTTGTTAACTTTCCAGTATTTCATAGGAATGTTAGATTTAGTTCATTCCAATGTAGTTTTGTAACCAATCATTAGGAGATATAGTTCCATGAAAAAAGTCTTAAACATGACTTTCTTTTGTGGCGTTTAATCACTAATTAGTCGTAATTAATACTAATCAGTGAGACTCCAGTGCAAAAAGTAACTTTTCCCGACGCTCCAATAAGTAAAAAACATTCGTGCAATGCATCATTCGATAGAGATTTTCCAGCTCTATCGATTGCTCAACTCATTTTGTCTGAGAACTTCTATTTTCGAAAAAAAAATTCGATATTCTTGATAAAATACTAAAAATTGGGCTCGTATTCGGTAATTTTGACCGATATATATTCATTTATGGTCAAAATGGATATGATATTCGGAATCAGCATCAAAAACTGACTCAGGTAGACATATTTTCTTTGCAAAAAAAAGTTTCCATCGAAGTTACACCTGTACTCCCCCTTAGCTTTTTTTCAAATGATCTCCTCCCAGAACACTGCGACATAAGGTTTGGAAGGGTGGATGTGGATGTGGGTGTGGATGTGGGTGTGGATGTGGGTGGGTGGGTGTGAGAGTGTGAGTGTGGGTGTGGGTGGTGTGGGTGTGGGTGGGTGTGGGCGTGAGGGTGTGGGTGTGGGTGTGTGGTGTGGGTGTGGGTGGGTGTGGGCGTGAGGGTGTGGGTGTGGGT